TGTTTCCAAATTTGTATTTTGTTGTATTATTGATACCTGTTTGTACATACAATCGCAGGTTTTGATGTTGCTTTTGATGGTGATGATGATGATGTTAATGATGTTGATGGTGATGATGATGATGGTGAGGTATTTTGTTGATTTTTTTTATTCGAATTTTGCCTCAATTGGATGGATAAAAAAGCTTTTTGCCCAAAAAGCGCTAAAATTTCGCGCGCGCAAAAAAACATGAATTTTCCACTCAGTCGACGTTTCAACGCCCAAGCATTATTGCATATTTTCTTAAATTTTTTTATCGTTTTTTCAAAAGACGCTTAATTTTAGCCAGTTTAGGATTTGTTAAAATCTTTTTTTTTCATATGTTCACTGAAAAGTTTTTGTAATTTTCGTGATTATTTTTTTTTAAAATTTAGAGATTTCGAATCTTGCGATTCTAGTTTTTTCCATGTTCACTCTGAGGGTGGTGTAAAATTCTACTCAATCTCTCCGTGATTGTTTTGTCAAAATTTTGAAAATTCCGGATCTTTAGATTCAATTTCTAGCGTACTTCATTGTCAGTTGTGGTCTTCACTGGGAGTATAGAGGAAGCTAGAGAGAATTTTTACTAAAAATTTTGCGAAAAACTTGAATTTTTAGAAAAAATGAGTGAAATTTTTTTAGTCACAAAAATTTCGTAGTTGTGAGGCAAAAGAGTAACGCATTAAACTGAGTTCTCAGCCAACAATGCATGAGAATTCGCGTAATTTCCATTTATATATCTCAGCCTTCTCATCCTCCCCCCATCCTTTTCCCCTTTTGTCCCTGCTTTTCCTCGTCTAGACCATAGGCGGATCCAAGACGGGTTTCTGGGGAGGGGGCGGCGGGTATGAGAAGGGAGCTCTCTTCTGGAACTATGCAAAAACTAGGAACAGAGTTGTAATAACACTGCTGCTACTTAGAGTTGCTTTAGTTTTATTTATGAACAGACCCGGGTTTTTGCAGCACTGTGCTGCTTTTATAGCTTTATTTTCCCCGCCCCCATTTTTCCCCTCGCTCCACCCTCCCTCCCTTTCCCCTTTCCCTCTCCCCTCCGCCACTCTTGCCCCTCCTTCGCGCTGGTTCCGCCCGTAATCTGGCTCATTCTCCTCGCTCTTTTATCTATTTATACTCCGGATGAAATGGACAATGAAAATTCAATGATGTCCATTATAA